CAAAGGCCACTCAGGTCTATATCTAGAAAGGAGGTTGGATTGGAAGATTGAGAGACCCGGGACTGTGCAGGTTTGCAGAGAGGCTAGAGCATTCCCTTCACAAAAATAGAATAGTAGGTAAGATTCACTAGCTAGAAGTTGACTGATAAGGGTAGAGTTTGCAGTAATCAATGAGATAATGGTAATGCTAAAGGTAGGAAGAAAGAAGGCTCATTCTATGCTGACCACTTACTATGGCTCTTCTCTCATTTGATTTGAGAATCTTATTTAATCCATAGGCTATCGATTGGGGGAAGAAAGCATGCCTTTGTTGGTCACCATCACCACCATCGTTAACATCGGTACACTCCTAAATAAGGCCTACCTCCCTTCCATTCAACCAGAGCAGCGATGAGAACAGAGACTAAATTAGCTAAGCAATGCATCAACGGGAGGATTCTGAAATTATCTTCTCATATGACATTCTACTTTGAGCAAGTCACTTATGCCTATTCCTTGATAGGAGAGGGAAAAGCATTAGGCCGGCCAGTACCAGAACGATGATGAATAAGTCTGAGGTGGGTAGGTGGGAATCCGAGGATTAAACTTCTGTTGATGAATGCATTCATACCATCATCTCTATCCCTTGCTCATTATAGGCCAAGCTCTTCCCTTCTTAAAGTACTTTGCCTTCGGCATCTCACTTGAATTGGAGAATGTATTAAGCATAGGATCATCCAGAGTCTGTAAAGTCTACCTCGCTTAGCTCAACCTTATCCATAGACGATCTCTATCTCTTCATTACTATGGTACTCTTTGTAGTAGGTAACTTTCTATACCTGAGCCACTTTACTAACCCTTAGCTTGTGTTCGATACCTCACGCCTTCACTTAATCCAAAAGCTTGGCTTGCTTCGTGTTCCAACTCAGCGATATGAATACCATCGTTAGCAATAACTTCCCCTTCGCCTAATCCCTTTATCCCCTCTCCCAATCCCTTCTTTCAGTTAAATGTTTGCAAAGTCCGATAGAGTGGAAGAGAGAGCGGGATTAAGAGACTTAGAGGACATATGCTACTAAAGTCCTAACATGGGGGCATAGCGTTTTGACTATATCCTTCCTTACTTGTCGGCGTAACGACAGCTAATGATTTAATACCTAGCTTATTGATGAGTTCGGCGTAAGAAGTTAATACTTCCACTTATTCCCTAGAATAGAAGACATGGAGGCCTTACAACTTTTCAGGATCTATTACCTGCATGACAGGAATATTAAATAGACATGAAATCAACGGGAAGCCTATTCCTACCCTAGTTTATTGGCTCTTAGGTCGGTGAAACTGTCCCTATAGCTAAAGTCAAGCCAGGAGTTCGCGTTTTAGTTTGAGTTCAGGACAGGAAAGTATGGGACCTAATTAAATGGAGTACTTGCGCCCTCTCTCGACGCCTACTTTATTAAACGAAGGACAGGGCAGGCATGCTCTTCGACAGACAGAAGGAAGGATTGGACTGGTGTTATAGCTTTCCCTTTTTCCAGCCATGTAGGTTTTCTTGAAGCACAAGCCATTCTAAGAGCGCCATTCAAGCCTTAGCCTGAAAATGGCTAAAGACTATTGGGAGTGTCCTGGGAGGCCCGGCGACCATTGCCCCTTTTCTTTTGGATGTAGCTATTTCCTTACATATAGAGGAATCGAGGAGATTCGTATATGCCCAGAAGCTCGCAAGACCCACGGCACCTTGCTACAATAACGAGTGGCTAGTTCGTTCGATATCTAGGGGATACCCGTCTACTTCGCTTCACCAAGCAGACCCCACGTACTTTAATTGTTCGTCTGCTACTACGAACCCGACCCATAGGCCCATACCTTTCTCGACCGAAGCCATAAGTAGCAGTTTAACGCTTGATCGAAGCGGCAGTTACCAGGCCCGACCCAACTATCCCAGGGCAGAAGGACGCAAAAAGGCCAATGTTACAGGGGCTTGGGATGCCTCACCAGGATGAGGCGGTAACACTTGGCGTGAGTGTGCAAATAAACCAACCCATTTGATAAGAAACCCTATCGAGTGTACGCTTTCGGTTAAGTGAAGGGATAGACCGAACCAGCTCACTAACGAAATTTAAGATCGGGGAATGTTACCCGAAGCATATCTCGTTTGATGGATGTCGTTGCCGCGAAGTTAGCTTTTATGGGACTTTCACAAAGCGGACTACTATCAGTAGTATATGCCTTCCCTGGGAAAAGCGGTAGAACATACTGATCTCAAAGGAGAGCCTTGCTTTTTCTGTGTTGAGTCTATAAGAAAAGAGGGGGTGCCCAGTACACTTGAGATGCGTCCCAAGGACGCCAATGACCAGTACTGCAACTGAAAGCCAGGGTATCTTACCCTAAAAGGCAGAGTTGGAAGACTTTCTTGGTTCAAATCCAATAGTAGCTAGAACCAGTGAAAGGGTAGTTCACCAGACCCGCTCACGATAATGCGAATGAAACGGAAGATAAGCCTATTACTGGTTACGGCTATAAGATCCTAACAAATGGCCGGCCGGTTTACATTTACAACAGAAAAAGAAAAGATAAGGCAATTAAGGGATGAAAGATAGCGGCAGACTAAGGAGTAAAGACTGACTCTTTCTCTTCTATTCTATGGAACACATTTAAAGACTGACTGACCTACTAGAGGGAATAATTACTCCTATTGACCGAAGGCTAAAGGACTCCTATTCTTTTTTTACAATCGCTGATCAGATGTTAGGAATCAATTGCAGCGAGAAGCCTCTCTTGGCCAAGAAGCAAGAGTTCCGGTACGGGAGTAAGATTCTTATCCAATCTGTCTATTAGTGGAATCCCCTAAAATAAATCTTAATCTCGTGTAAATGAAGGGAAATTTGATGGCTTAAAGGAGCTTTTAAGCCACTCTTCTAATTCCTCTTGGGTTATTTCCGATCGGGTCTTGCCAGGGGTTGGTGCATTAATGCCGAGAATACGCTGTTTGAAAGGTAACTTGATCTAGATGCGGAGTCTAGTTTGCACTTTATGGTACAACTTTTTATCCTTTAAATAAGAGGAGGTGGTCAAGACCTTAGGCAGCTCGACACATCTAGTTTCGGTCTTGCTAACGGGTGACAAAAGGATGTTGGCCTTCCCATTTGAAGCGGAGAAGGGGACCCCATAGAGATCTACCTGGCCTCGCCAGCCAGTCTACTGATTGTCCATATAAAGTATTCTGCAAGCTTCTAGGGCAGGTCGCCTCTTATTTAATCGTATATATATAATGGAATATATAGTTGGGGGTTGATCGCTAGTCTTTTAATCCACAAAAACCTCCTAAATACCTACCTTGGCATCTTTAATTGAAAAATGTGTATGGTAAGTAAGAATAAGAATGAATGGAAGGATGAGTCGATTAGATTAAGAGGAAGGAGGAGTAGGCATCGACCTAGTTAGTCGTTCTGAGTGAAGCTGAGGAGGTTCTTGGACTAGTTTCTCATGTATATAAATAATAAGGCTCCTTCTTTCTAGAAAGGGTAGTTTTTCCTGCCTATTTGTTCCTATGTGTGAAAATGAGTATGTGAACAGAACATCTTTCAAACATCGAGATTGGGTTGGCGGTCAGTAAGGAAAGTCGGGTGTGGCGATCCGATCAACGAAAATAAATCCTGAAATTACATATATAATGCTAGAAAGAATCGTTCAGTAGTCTAATCTTGACAGTTTCCATTTTCGATTGAGAAAGCGGCAGGCCCAAAGAGCTCTACAGTAGTGCCTCCTTGCTTGGTCTCAACAATTTGGCTTTGACATGGGAATGAAGACTTTCTAGAACAAATATTAAACCTTCACTCTTTGCCAAGATAGTACGAATGAAGTTATTAGTGCTACCTAGCCCCGTCTAGATGGAGAATCTCTTATATGATATAAGTTTTCGCTTCGCTCGAGTGACTACGTACCTGCCCCTTCGACATAGATGATTGGACTGTCTTTCTTTGGCCTATAAGAATGGCACTTGCCTTTTCTTGGTCGGTTCGAATCCGGCCCAGTCCTAGGTACGCACGTAACAGACGTTCGTATGAACTAGAACCTTTCTTTTGATCAATAGAACAGGAAGAGGAGTCAGCCAAAAAGAAAGAAAACAAAAAGTAATGACCACAAAGATAATGCATATATTATTTAATATATGGCCCATTTTTTCAGATAATTGTTGTTTTTATCTTTCATATCCTTTTTATCTGTAAGTCTGGCTCTTGGTAATATTTTTATCTTAAAAGCAGTATTCGCGTACAATTCCGCTTTAGGGCTGCCAGTTGAATTCCGGGCTTCCCGACATATCTAAAACTCTATTATTAAAACAAATCGCGGAGAACTCTTATGTCGTTTTATTTCTTACTTTTTTTATAATATTCCTTCTGAGTTGTTCCGTTGTTTTTTTAGTCATACTTCTAGAACTAGAATAAATCCGACTAAGGAAGAAGAAGCAAAAATAGGTTTCTTTTTGGGGCAAATTTCTTTTCCCGTGGCCTGCTTCATTTCTCTATTTTTCCTATCTTATAGCGGGTTGGCTTTAAATAATGAGCTGAACATTATTTATTGCTTTTTCCAGAATATTAGCTCTGGGCTTGCTATGACGTTTGAAAGTGGTCATGAGGGGATACACTTAACAGTTTACCCCCCCCCCCCTCTTACCTAAGAAGGTAGCTTGTCTCGCCCAGGAGGTGGGAATAGTTGAAAACAAAGTGGCGAACGGGTGAGAGGGCCTTCGATTTTGATTCTTTTTCTTGAGGGGGATTCTGTCTGTCAGAAATAACTGTCTGTCTGGTCTGCATTTATAAAGTGTTCAGTGGACAATTCCTTCTCTTGATATGGAGGTTTTAGGTCTCTGGAAGGGCCTTCGTTCTTTCTGTTTGTTTTCGTTTGTGAATCTTTATCCCATGCATAATTTGTTGGTCAACAACCACAACTCAATAGAATGAATTCTTTAAGACTCCGGACAGAAAGAGAGTCCGGAGGGAATCATTGTTTCTCAATCAATCATGCCTCAACTGGTTCTGGACAGAAATATAGAGAGTTCTTATTTTTTTTTAATTTTGATCCCCATAGCTGCGGTTATTTTATATTCCCTTTTTAGAGGTGGGCGCCCACCTGTGTTGGGTCTACCCGATCCCAATATTGATCTGTCTTTAGCACTTGATGCTTTACATATAGAAATAGAGATTCAACTTGAAACCCTGTTCAAGGAACGCTTTGGGCAGTATTATGTATTGCCTGACGGATTAACCTTCTCTGCCGTTGGTGAACATCTGTACTCAAGGGTTGGAACCTTGGCTGGGTTGCAGGATATTCTCGTTGATCTCCTTTTTCTAAGGGAACTGAGCCCTTTTTTTCAGTTTGCTTTGGATTTTGTTATAGAAAGGGTATAGCTGCTATCAAAAAATGCTTGCATAAAATAAATAAGGTCCATTTTACCATGTAGTTCGTCGGTCAAACCAACGATTCTCTTCTCAAAGTTATAGAGAGATCTTTTTCTAGTTAGACTTCTAAGCGCCAATCTCGATTCTCCTCGCAGTTCTCCCTTTAACCTCTAATCAAAAGTCTAGTTGTCTGCCTGTTTGTCGTACTAGGGGATATATTCTTACCATAAATAAATCTTCTTCTTTTTTCAGAAATCAGTCTCATGTCTCCATCTATCTCCTCGCAGTGTCCTTTCTACCCTCAAACCTGACGGCTCGGTCAGTTCACCTCTTAGTGGGACTTGTGATTGGGCAAGTAAGGTCTAATAGCCGCTACTGGAAGTTCTTTGTCCTTTCAGCAAGTCTCCGGGTATTCCGCGTCCCAATGGGCTCTATCTCACCACCTCCTCCCTACTGCCAGTCGCGTAGGAGTAGTCTGGGAACCTTCAAAAACCTTCCCCGATTGACATGAGTCACGGTAGGCCTACCGTGACTCATGTCCCTAAAATGTTTAGATTCCACCTCTTGCGTACGTTTCCAATTTATTGGCACTGGTTGGTCTCCTGCTATATCCGCTTCCTTTAGTCTTCGCCTTTAGATAAGATAACAAAAAGTGTCCGTTTATTTAGGCATCTTAACTATTCAAAAGCTTCCTTCTCCTTGTTATGGTTACGACAATCTCAGGGGTCAAGCTTCATGGCGTACGTCCGTCTAATCCATGCTCAAGCTTCCATTCCTTCTTTAGGAGGGTGGAAATCGAAGTCTCGAATACAGATTTCAATCGTCCAGGCAAGCATGCATCTTAGGCGCCCCTTGTAAAAAAAATTGTACTAAATGAGTCACGAACCGTCGGAAGCGCCTTTCTTTCTATGCCTTCCTTCTTCTTTTGATTCTTTCTTCTTTCTGTTCACCTGAGCGGAGTCTTTACTTGCTTTCGAACGCTTGGTCTGGCCTATTTGTTTGCTGTTAGAAGGGAAGCCTGAGCACAGTAGCAGGTAAAGAGAGAGAGATTGCTCGGCAGGGAAGACGGGAGAATATCCAAATCAAATACAGGCACTCGACTCTATATACAAGAAAATAGTGAACTAAGGGGATCACAACGGTGAATGGGGCCAATCGAGGAGACTGGAGGAGCTGGATGCAGCGATTCGGAAGTAGCGAATCGTCTTCTTTGCAGTTTTTCAGGGGAGTGGCTATCAAGCTAGCCAAAAATTCCATTATTCGGCTATTCAGATATATTTGTATAGAAAGTTGACTTCTTTCATTCAAGTAAGATAGTTGATCGAGAAAGGTCCTCTTCCACTGAGAAACTAAGGAGCGAAAGCGATGTGCTCCGATGAAAGCCTTGCGGGTCTAACGCGGCCCTTTACTCAATGAATAGGAAATATGACCACACACAATGACGAATCCCCGCGATCTAGGGCATGAAGCAGTTGGCTCTCATTGGGAATTCTCCATAGCATGACTAGTTAAAGCAATCAAATTGATTGAGACAAGCAAGCCTCAATCCCGGGTTCCCCATGACGAATCAATTGTGTCGGGCGGAAAAAAAGGTCGGGGCAGGAATGCGGTAGGTGGTGGTCCTATGAATGGGTTGACTAAGATAATAGAAATTCTACGGTTAGTTCCAACAATATCCAACAAAGACCGTAATTACATACATAACATAGTCATAGCGGAAACTATCAAAACGAGTAAGCTAGGTTGCCTATGCCTAAAGCCTGTCTACTCCTAACAAGTCTAAAGATAGAAGTGACTTTATAATAGTATGGCTGGAATCAGGTTCTCCTATATGGAGGGAGGGCTGGCTTTACGCCTTTTTTTAGTTATCTCAAGAAGTTACCGTCAAAGAGAGAGCCATGGCTGCTCACACATTATTAGAGCAGGAATGGTTTATATTAATTTCGCGTTCCATGAACCTGGTTGTTTGGCTATTAGATTCACACAGACAGGCAACAAAGAAAGGGCTTCTAGCCTACTAGTTAAGTAACAACAGTTGTGGTTTCTTAGAATCATCCTCAGAGGGAGCCCATTACAGCACCGGGATACATAACATAAAGGCAAATCATTGTAAAGTCTTATCGTCAGGTTTGAGACTAAGATTCGAGCATTTAATCGACAGAATTTGCATTTAAAGCCGACGATGGTGTAAGTGATTCATAACTAATCTTCCCTTCGTCGCTGTAAGTGGAATGCCCTTAAATTATTCCTTAAATAGGGGCTCGAAATCTAATACAGCCATTAGGAGAGATCCCGACATAAGATGCCGATGTCGGGCATTCAAATTAACTAGTCTTCTTCGCTACAAGTCTGATTCCTATTGCTTCTAGCCCCATTACATACCTTTGATAGCCATTTCAAATCTATCTATTTGAGACCAAATCCTATGACCACATTCTCCTTTGAGTTCCGATCTGACATTCATTCAGAAAGCGAAGAACTTACTTATTAATCTATAACTGTAGAGTTCTAAATCTCAGATTTAATTTGAACCAACGCTCATCAACGGATCACGACGTGAACTGTCAACCGAGCTACCACCGAGCTACCGAGACGGGAGGGAGGGACTGATTGATACATGGAATCCTATAAAATCAAGTGAGTCCGCTCATAAGAACAGTAAGTCCCTCTTAGTCTCACCATGTGCCCTTATTATGGAAGCTAGGATTTCTTTCTCATATTCGACCATGTCTCGACATTGTGTAAGATGAAACTTATTCTTTCTATAGATAGATAAGGGAATGAATGTAGCTCGTAACGAACCTACTGAAACAGCCCTAGCCCCAGGTGCTAACCAGTGAGACACCTTTCCCGAAACTATAGCTGCTCCTAACCCGGCTGAATCCGGGGTAATCCTGACTGCGCCAAAGACTACAACGGCCTTTTCTTACTCATCCATCTACCTTGAGACTGCACTATCTATAGGCACCTTTCCTGCCTCTTACTGTGGGACAAAGAGCTGTAACTTTAAAAGAAGCGGGAGAGCGATCAATTGTTGGGTTCATGTGCCCTAGTTTATTCATGTGGTTGGGTTAGGCGTATCCGAAACGTAGGTATTACTCTCTTTCTTAACCCCTTTCGGAAATGTAGACGAATGGAAAGTCTCTCATAGCAACATAGAGATCGAGCTTGGAGGCTTGTCTAGCAGGTGATTTGATCGGGCACCCACGGAGGCTGCGAAAGGGAATCGGTTCTACTTGAAACGGGAACAATCATCCCGATGGTCACTCATAAGGTACTATATGTAGGATATATTTTGAAATATCTCAAAAGGAGAAGGGAACGACCCCCTTCGATCCTGCCTGCTAAATTGGGGAAGATATAAAAAAGGGGTCCTCTCGCTCAATCCAATATAAATTGTTCCTAGTCTTGTGATGAGCTTGAAAACAGGCCTTGAAGCATGGGAGGGGCTAGGGAAGCTCTTACAAATCAACAAAGCGGGTATTTTAATGCTTAACACGGGGGCTAGAGCTGAGGTAAGTGCATCTGATTCTTCCTTTGCAACCGGGGATGAAAGTAAAGGCTAGCAGGGATTGTCATTCATCCGGATACAATATTATGTTTACAAGTCTTGTTGAAGATGCCTTGACGGTATCCTTCGGTTCTGTTCGCAGATCTGGAACATTCCTTGGCAGCGAGTGAAACGATCGAACAGGCCTTTACTAAAAACAAGAATGATAGCTTCAAGAAACAGCGAGTAGAGGGATTGCAACACCCTTACTTCGGACGCCAAAAAGAGGATGAGAGGGAAAGGCACCACGCGGTTAAGAAGCTGACAGAGAAGCAACTGAGCATGGACATCCTCACTGTGTTATTCGTCTTCAGAATCCTTGTTGTATCTTCCACCGATGCTATTTCCTATAGCTTGCTGGTATTGGACCTTTCTTCTGAGATTGGGATGAGGAATTGGAGCTGGTAGGGCTTCCTTTCCAAACAGGTCTCAGTCTTCGAAGTGATCCAACAGTTCCATCTCCAGTAAAAGCATAAGAGGTGCATCTGATCGGGTAGCAGTGGGAGAGAGGAAGAAGAGGCACCAACTAGAGAACAAATGATATGGATCGTTCGTATAGGCAGATCAAAAGTGAATGCCTATGTGCCAAATAGCGTGACTCAAGAGATAATTGCAGCATGTCAATCAAGGTCCGGATCGAATCGCATTGAGAAGGAAGGGAGACAGATCTCAATGTCATGATAAAAGGAGCAGGGACGGGCGTCAGAGGAAGCTGGTAATCAAAGAAGTAGTGAGTAGTAAGGTTGACGGTGAGTAAAACGAACAAGCTGGGGGCTATTGAGCTTGTTGAACCAGTGAATCTTTCGGTCCGGCCTTCCAGTTACGAAGCGGATTGTGTTACACCCTTTTGTTCATCTCATCCCAGTTGTAGTTGATCCAATCGATCCAGAACCTGCGGTAGTTTAACTAGTGAAAGCAAGGCCGGGAAAGAGGGAAGCAATTCCCTTCTTTCAGTAAAGAATTTCTTTGAACTTCTCTTCTAATTCTTATTTTAACTTTATCTACCATACTGGCACAGACCTGCACAGGAAATAGCGATCTTACTAATCCAATTCTATGGATTCGACTACCACCAGGAGAAAAGGCGCTAAGAAAACAAAGCACTCCTCTCGGAAGTTTCCAGGAAAGGTCGAATGTTAACTAACGACTGAACTCACGGGCAGCTGTGAAAAAGAAAGAGGAGACCTTCAATCAATGCTTTCGGGCGAAGTCCTTGTCACTGTGTAAAACTGGTACTTTCCTATAGTTGATCAAGGCTGTTGCTTTACTTTGCTAGTGAATCAGATCTTTGGCTTTACCGTCTTACTATTCGGAGAATGTACTCTGTTAGGGGTGATATCTCTCTATCTTAAGTCAGTCATTTCTACCGGCTCTGGGTAACTTCCTTTAGGAAGGAAAGCAAGTCCCATCGATTGAGCTGTTGATGGAATGAATGGAATAAGGGCTGCTTTCAAACCTGAAACAGGTCCAGGTCTTGGAATCGGGCTAGGAGCAGCTATTGAATTTGTTTATGGCGGTGTGATAATGCCAGTCGAAAGGGAAAGGCGATGACTATTTGTTCTTACTCTTTTTCCAAAGGCCCTAGAGTAATAAAAAGAAATCTTCTTTCAGCTCAGCTCTTGTGAAATGGTCTTTGTGGTCCACTTGCCCTTGTGACTATGCTTTCAGTTCTGTGGTGAACGTCGACTCTTCACTCTTGCTTTCCTACTTATCTTAATAATAATTCCGCCGTATTTAACTACGCTCTCAAAATAAGTGCTTTAGTCTACGAGTCTTAGGGGAAGACCAATCCCTAAAAAGGCATGTCTTAGAAGGTCTGTATAAGACAGAGTGGGAAAGATTTATACGCAACAATACCGACAGCAGCTGAAGCTAGCTTTCTTAGTGGATTGACTAATGCAAACATATGACATATGACGATCGTTTAGAGCACCCACCTCCTGTGGGGGTCTCATCCTCGAGCATATCTATTCCAGAGAGAGATCAAGAAGGAGAGATTTGCTCCTATGGGAAATTCTTCCCCTGCTTGATTTTCCCCAAACCCAACTATTTGATTTGTTAGGCTTTCCTATCTATGTAGGGTTCCCTCCCACTGGCTATGCAATCTAGAAGGGTCCATTCACTTCAATATCCTTATATGCAAGCTCGGGGAAAGGTCAATGACAGCAGGCTTCTTTGTCAAAGACATATCGAGTGAAATTTCATTATTTCGTAACAATTGACTTATGCCATTTACTGATGAAGATTAGGATATTATCCCCACGGGACATCATGACCCACTAGAATGGTGGTCCGCTCGATAGCCTGGAAACGACTCCTTCATTTATTATTTATTATCCCGCCACAAGACAGGGAAAGGAAGCTAGCGGATCCACTCGCAGTCATGCTCTTCTCCTCGCTCGTCTAGGAAAATGATCCCGGGTAACCTATTCAATGACTGGTGTTTTAAAAACTCTCGCCTACGTATCCTTATCCCTATCCCTTTATTGATGAATCGCACCTTTCCCTTGTAAACTTGAATCGGAATTCTGCCACTCTCGATAAAATTGGTATCAACCCCTTGAAGACGGACATTTCAAGTGTGCCGGAAAAAAAGCCTCTTTTGGGCCTATTTGCCTAGGTTCTTGTGAATGGGCTCAGGAGATTCATGATCTTAGGTTTGAATGAAAGAGTAGGATCAGGATACGAACGTAGTCGTTGGTACCGTAACTTTAGTTTAGAATGCGAGAAGATATAGACTTTCCCGTTGAGATAGATTCTCATGTTCTTGCAGACGTGGACTATAGAGATTTTACCACCCCCTGGATGCTATTATTTCGTTGTCAAGGGAAGTCTCTCTCTTGGTGTCAGGAACACGGCTTCCAATTCCTATACTCTTTGGGAGCCAAGTCGGATAGCTTAGGCCTTTCCATCGTACTCCTCTTGATGCCATCAAGCAAGGCGCTTGGTCTTAATGGTAACTGACCTGGACAATTCTCAATATCATCTAAATGAAAATATAGTTAAAATAATAATATATTAATCAACTCTATTTTCTAGAAGAACGTCTCTTTTGGCCCTCCCTATAGATTATGCCTTTCCCTTGGCACTTGAAAGAAGGGAATCCAGTGTGAATGCTAGCTCCGCTCCAAGGAATTGCCTTAGGTCTGAGCTTGAGTATGGAGAGTTTTTCTTTCGTAAGGTACTGGGGATATCTTTGACTATATTTACTATCCTTATAGTAAAGGTTAGATATTTAACTAAAAAGATAGAAAAGGAGGGTTAATATGGTCCTTAAGGGTATGACCTATCACTCAAGACCTTCCATTCTCTTTACTCCGACAGGAAAATCACTACTAACATAGACTACCGTACTTTTAAGCCCCTCAGCTTCAATGCTAATAATTCCTTTCCTTCTGCTTCTGCGTGAGAAGATTCCTTACCCTAGCTTCGTAGTATAGGTGTGTCTATACGGAGTGATTAAGCCTTAAATGCTACGGATTATATTATAAGAGGACCCCCTATCTCCAGCCCAGCACCACAAAGCCTCATAGAGGTTGAAGTTTGGAATGGAAGTCAACTAGCTTTTCTTTTTATCATTCACCTTCTTTTAGATGAAGTGACTTGGAGCTTTTATGATAACACGAGCTAAGGTTTCACTAAAGAGAATCGAGGTTTTAAACCATCCCAAAGGGTCTTTTGTCTTGGTGTTCCCGTTGCCTTACCACTTCCATTATCCTTTCTCTACGCAAACCCTGGGTAACCTTCATTGCCTTTCCTCTGTCTTTCTACTTCCTCGGAAGTAGAGCATCTTCCGCTCCTGGCGATTCCGCTTACTCCAGACAAGTTAGCTATTGGACTAAGACTAAGGGATGGCTCATTGATAGTAGCTTGTTGGAATGACTGTACAGGTACTTCGGCGAAGGGACAAGCACTGGATCTTCCATGCCGTCACTATCTGAGAATCATCTTTCCATGGCCACATGTCTATTGGTATACTGAAATGGAGCAGGTACTTTTTCAATAACTCTTTCTGAGGAACATAAGAAGAAAGAAATGGATGCCCTCTCCGGCTGTTCATAGTCACGAATCACCACTGCCTTTCATTCGTAACTGATCCTCCTCCCCAATCACATATACTTCTCTACTTCTGCTTGCAGTGATAATATCACATGTGGAAGCGCGCGTACGCTAGAAAGACGTATAAGCAAGCCTTTCTTTATGAGTATGAGTCAACCAAGTCGCTTCAAAGAACAAAGGTCTCTGGAATGCCGGCTGAGGTCACTTTGTAGGTCAAAAAGAAGAAAGAGGGTGGTGATCGGATTTGACTGGAGGCAGATTCCGGACAGCAGCTTCTGGGAAAAATGACATTCCATCTTTAACAGAGCTCTATCTAAGCTCTAATACACACGACTGAACCCTGGAGACTTTTGCCTCGCCATGTAAACTGAGAGCCTAGGTACCCAAGATCAATGATTTTGCTTTCAATCTTTAAACTTCCCACATCTGAAGAACTTGCTTCCAGAGCCAGGCTTTCAGACTCTCCATAGGTTTCGCATAGAGAGCAATCAATAAGCACTCGCTCTTCTTCTCCTGAACTACCTTCATATGAACGAACTGAGAGTCATCCTGAAGGACATCCACTGATATATCTTTGCTCTTCCACAGGACAAAAATCCCACCTTGAGGTTCCAACCGATGCGATGATGGTTTTAACCACTTTCTCGGCCTTCTCACCACTGACCCAAGTTTAAAAAATAAAAGCACAACTCTCTCAGGTGAATTAAGTCCATTATTACACCATGAAACCTCGGCGGCGATTCCAAACTCGAATCTTCCACACAATAAGGAAAAGACTATACCACCCATGTTGCAGTGGGGCTACCCATCATATGACGAGCAATCCGGCTGCATTTGTCTCATCTCTAAAAAAATGATTTGGTAGGACACCTTTGCGATGGCCGCCAAAGCTATGCCATCTTTATTCCAACTTCCTCTGTGTTGTCAAGGATCTACACACGCATAATGTTATAGCTATAGGGTGCCGCCCGTAGCCAACCCCTATATGCTTGAGACCCTAATTTTCCTCTTATTTATTTGTGGCTTCTTCATAACAAAGAGCTTCCTTATGGCAACTAGGGGCTTTATAGGGGTCCTCTTGTTGTTTGAAAGGTAGGTTTTGTCAGAGATTAAATGGAAAGGAATGGAAGAGGTAACTCACCAACCAACAGGAGGAGGATATGAAATAGAGCACCAACAACCGTTCTACTCGAGCGGAACTTCTAACTAAACTTCTCACGTTTTTCAGCAGGGTCTGGGCTACGGGGTCCTTTTCCAACCCCTCTCTTATGCGTTCAGGGATGGCCCCTTTGAGTTGGCTCATGTCTGCTATCTCTTCTAACTTGTTGGATGCCAACTCGGCCTTTCGACTTAGTGCGTCAGCAACTTGATTGGTCCTCTCGGGCTTGTAATCGAGGACCATGTCGAACCCCACCAGAAAGTCTTGCCACCGTGCCCGCATGGGGTTGGGCTCTCTTTTGAGTAAGGAAAGAGCTCATAGCCACGTTATCGGTCTTGATCACAAACCTTGAGCCCAATGAATAAAACTACACTGCGCTCCAGCAATTCAATGATCTCTGTGACTTGGCTATCAAGGTCACTCGGCACGAGCCTTGCTGCGAAAAGTCGGACTTGATGCAATGGTGGCGGAGATCAAGATCACTAAGCCAGTTGTTTGCCTTGCTCTACACAAAGCCCCACCCAATAAGGCTGCCATGCTAAACAAGCCTGGTATGGAACGGACTGCAGGCAAATTTGGCAATCGGCCACGTGACTTCACGTACGATGTCTCAAAGGCCGATGAGATCTATGATTGCTTGGAAAAAGTAGGGTTAGTTGGGTCCCCAGAGCATCAAGTCCAGTTAAACGCACTAAAGGGACAAAAACCCATATGCTAGTTTCATGCCAGTAATAGTCACGCCACAGCTGACTGCGTAGCCTTCCGCCGTGCAATACAGGACAAGATTGATGTTTCCCGATAAGGAAAAATGGATGTTGATTGACAAGCAACCATTTCCAAAGATCGCGTAGGCAGCGTCGGTGTATATTCATGACCACTACTTTTATTTGTCGATATAGTCAGTGTGCCGCGAGTGCTTTCTCTCTTTTGTCCAACTTGACTTCTTTCTTCCATATAGGCCTCGCTTGCATGCCTTGTGGCAAACTAGACTTGAAAATGGTTTATATAAATAAAGAAGAGTCACGCTCTTGAAGCCCTAAGAAATAGGCAACATCGGTTCGAATACGAATTGGGGTGGGGCTCTTTCTCCAGAATTTGAGAGTCACTTACCCAGAAAAGATGTTGCTAGGCAGGCGGTTATTATAATAGAGGTGCCTTCAAGTAGAAATGAAATTTAGCCGACACAGAAAAACTGAAGAAAAGCTAAAGGCTTTCTCCCTCCATATCATATGCATTACCTATAGCATTCAACCCCTTCCTCTTTGTAGGAATTAAGATCTTTCTACTCCTTTCGCCCTACGACTCCTCATGATGAAAGCTACTTCGCACCTTG